CTGATCATCGAACCCCCCCCCCTCTCATTTCAAGACTTCTAGATACGCCACTGCCTGTATACACAAATGACGGGATTCAAACTTGCGACCTAGCCTCATGTATATATAGATCTTGTTACAATAGAGATAAACCGTCTTGTGATAATGCTATTAAAATATATAAATCTATTTTGAATGTTAAGGAAGAGGAATCTGTGTGCGAACAAAATGTAGATACAATTATGATTATAGTCATGAAAGTACTGAACTCTCTCCTCATTCGCATCAGTATAAATATAATGATGATAATGATAATAGTGGCAACGACAACTTTTATTATAATTGTAATAATTATGATCATGACGATGATAATAGCGATTATTGTAATGATGATGATAATAACAAACAATAAAAAAAAAATATTAATAGCGTATAGCTTTAATTTTAAGGATATCGATTTTGTAAACTGATTCTATAAACTTATTTATATAGCACCACAATAATATAACAAAAACAATGTTTGCTATAACATCGCATTGTCGTGGATATTTTTCCAAGAACTTCAGTTTCTTTCCATGTGAAATAAGTTGAATACAATTTTAACAACGTTTTAAGAGCTTTATTTGCATGTTTTTAACCAAATTGTAATCACAAGAATCAATAAAAACATCTTATCGATTTTGTAAACTGATTCTAAAAACTTATTTATACAGCACTACAACAATATAACAAAACAATGTTTGCTATAACATCGCACTGTCATGGATTTTTTCTAAGAACTTTAGTTTCTTTTCACATGAAATAAATTAAATACAATTTTAACAGCGTTTTAAGAGCTTTATTTGCATGTTTTTAACCAAATTGTAATCACAAGAATAAATAAAAACATCTTTAATAATACAGTATAAACATTAAAAAAACCAACAGATAATAAATAATATATGTATTTTGAGAACAAGTATAAAACAATAGAAAAACTTTGTCTATCTACACTGAAATCACAACTTAATCAAATTTTGCAACTAAACAATTAATAAAAAAAAAACATTAAGTATGCAAAAACAATTCAAATTAAGCCAGCTGAATCATGGTTAGTGTGTAAGTGTGTGTGTTCATGACTTAAAATAAATAAGCAATCAGACGGGCAACATGTTTTTAGTCTCATTTGCATAAACATCTGGAATAGTTCCGATTGGTGATGGTATCATTTGGACAGAATTCTTTCCATTTAATTTTTTCTCATAGTTGCACAGCTGAATCCAGAATCCCATGTTTGGACGAACAAACTCCCTCCGAAGTTTGACCAATCTATAAGCATCGTATAAGTTCATGTTCTCATAGCGCATTAGGTAAGCTAATGCGAGTGTCACAGAGCGACTCCTTCCAGCCTGGCAGTGCACAACAGTCTTTCCCCCTTGATGTTTCACATTCCGAATCTTATCTGCCACGACCTCAAAATATTTCTGTAGATTTGCTTCCGGAACATCATTGACCGGCACGGACATAATCTCAAACCCGGACATGTTTTGTTTGTGGTGTTGCGGGGTTACATTTATAACGCATGTGATTCCTTTAGCGCGCAAAGCTGTCGGACTGTCCGCTCCAGTGAAGCTGGTGATGAATAAAAAGTCTGTGATTTCGGATAAACAGTGCAGCTTTGAACGTTGAAACATAATTTGCTTGAATCAGGCCTACAAAAAAAGAAAAAAAAATCAAAGCTGATATATTACAAATTCGCCTAGAATTCTCAGTTGGGTCAAGAGACCACGGTTGTAGTAGGGTTGCAGTTTCTAATCTGTGAAAAGTATACGGCTATCACATTCTTAAAAATAACAAATTCTATACGTTCTTGATATAAGATTACAATAGATATTCCCCTAGTGGTGCCCAAGAAATAATCGGCGGTCGGCCAAGTCCCAAGGATCTGCAGGGTATACGCTAGAATTATGATTACATTATTCTGTGTGATAAACATCTTACCAAGGGGCCGAATAGCTTAGACTTAAGGGGTCCGTGAAGATTTTTATCATGTCCTCCTGAGTGAGATGTCCGCAAATGCAGAAAATGTGGGCTCCTCCCTGCGAGCATCGAAAGTATCAAACCATGGAGTTATAATTATTTTATAATAATAATAATAATAATAATTATAACTCCATGATCAAACCAGGCCAAACGCGTAAGCAGCGTTAGCCTACCGCCAACAAGGCCAACCCTAGGATAGGTCTCTCTCTCTCACACTCTAGCTAGGCTAGGCCTAGGCTAGCTCGGGTCCGGCTAGCTCAGAAATATTATTTATAAGCAAATGCCAACAGGCAAGAGATAATCAGAACTTACTTCACGATAAATACAGCAGAGGTAAATATTATGTCGAATCTAATAGTTAAAAATCATTGTTACTAAACAAAACAACACCTCATTAGACAACAATAAATTAACATGTTTGTTTATAACACCCTACAATAAATGTATACGTCCGTCACGATTCGTCGGTTTCGTCGCATCCTCCAGCTGCAGCACTAGCGCCCACATGAAAAATAATTGTAAAACTATAGAGGGCGGCAGACCGATTTATTTACTTCTCAGGGAATATCACATCATGAACTGCAATGAATTTTTCAATGCGAACGAAAATATTAATATGATTCAGAATTTATTATTACTGATCGTTGATTTGAGATGGTAGTTATCAGTGTTGCTTTTGTACTGTACCTACATTGGGGCGAAACTCGATTATGTTGTACGTATCTTATGTTATATTTTGTTAAATTATTTTGGTTAAGATACATTTTATATTGTTGGTAGGCCTACATGCTGTACGTAATACAGATATTAACTTATTTAAACTCAGTTAATTCATTTGATATCTTTTCGTGAACGAACAAACTATTATTGAGGGCCACCGATACTAAGGTAATAATTCGAATAAATAAAAACACAAACGCGTTGCAAATGTAATGGCGACCACAATAATCATGTACGTTATGCAAAAAAAAAAAAAAAAAGAATGAAGATGTTAGTTTTAATTTTTACGGTTTAGATTTGAATTTAGTCTCCTAAAAACAGTTTTACTCAAGGTGTTGTTTAAACACAATTTGTAATTCATTTTTCACACAATATTTTAGCCTACGATAGGAAATAGTCGTTTATTTGGCATTATTGGCCTAATTTTTTTTCCTCAAGTCAACATTTTATGACTTAAACAACACGGCTGTGTTTTATTGTAATTAGCATTAAAGTAAAATATACAAGATTTATTGACAAAAAAAGAATCGGCGTTTCCACCATTCTCTGCCGGGGGTGAGGGGCCGGGAACTCGAAGTATGGTTTAGAGTAGGGATGTGTCATCCTTTTAGTCCGGGGTGTATGCTTTAATCTGATAATTAAGTTGGGGAGGAGATGTGGAGTTGTTTTCTGATATTTTTTTTTTTTTTTTTTTTTTTTGCCTGTTTAAGAGAATAATTAATAGTTGAGATGGTAAAATTGGTAGAATGAAAGTGAGATCATCTTTGTCATCTGGTTGCCACCGGAAGCCATTGATACTGCAGAACACAAGCCTCGTAACACAGCATAACATATGCCTAGGCGTTAATAATATACGGGAACATTGTAGTTAGTATGTCAAACACGTACCACATTGTTCCCTGGATCCAACAAAATTTGTTTAAATCAAGGACAAGTTCGTGACTATTTTTTTATGTAATAGGGTTACGGTTCTCAAAATTTAAATGTATCTATACCCTCATTATAATTAACCAATGTACTAATTTATTGTTTGTCAATACTGTGATAAGGTGAGGTGTCATATTATCATTATTTGTTTACAGTAGTTGAACAAATAGAAATGTGTCATGGCACTTTATTTGACGGAGCATGATAACAAACACACTGTCATCATAATCATATCACAATAAATCCAGTAGAAACCAGATTGTAATTAAACCTGAGCTAGGTCGGTTATGCTTTTTAAAGATATCACAGGTAGATCTCATTCAGCGTACGGTAGGTATAGGCCTACTTAAACAGAAAGAAAATGAAGTTTGACGAGATTTTGCAATATCTTGGAGAGTTTGGTTTTTACCAGAAAAGAATATATTTCTTGATCTGCTTCTTGGCCACGACAACGATGTTTCAGCCAGTTGCTCAGGTGTTTTTAACACCTGCAACAGACCATTGGTGTTCGACACCTCAGCTTGAACGGCAAGAGTGCACTGAATGGGCAGACGGAACAATTGACACGGAAACATGCAATGAGTTAAAGTATAATGCAACCATTCCTGAAAATGATGAGGAGACGATATTACCGGAGAATAACTGTAGAAGGTGCGATATAACGTATTCTGAATTCAATATGGACACTAAACGCTGTGAACTCTCCGATCCAAATATACAGAAGTGTGATGACGGCTGGGAGTATGATCACAGTCAGTACAAGTCCACTGTCATTCAAGATGTAAGTCATTTTCAAAACGCCAACCGTAAATATTTGTGTGATCATTGACAAAATGAAAGTCAACTTAATTGGATTAAAAATTGTTTAAAAATTATGTGTTTTTTTCTGGTTAAAGGAGAAAAATATGTACTTGATTGTGGGTGAAAAGTGTCATTGCCGTTCAAGACAAACTGATAACTAATGCTACTGCATACTGCTGCATACTCTACTGCTGCTGCTGTTGCTACATGCTGTACTACTGCTGCTGCTATTGCTGCCACTGCTGTATGTTCTACTGCTGATGCTGCTGCTGTTATTGCTATTGCTGCATTCTGTACTGCAGCTGCAGCTGCTGCTGCTACAGGCTTTATTGCTGCGCTTCTGTTGCTGCTACTGCTGCATGTTCTACTGCTGCTGCTGTTGCTACATGCTGTACTACTGCTGCTGCTATTGCTGCCACTGCTGTATGTTCTACTGCTGATGCTGCTGCTGTTATTGCTATTGCTGCATTCTGTACTGCAGCTGCAGCTGCTGCTGCTGTTCTGCTGCTACAGGCCTTATTGCTGCGCTTCTGTTGCTGCTACTGCTGCATGTTCTACTGCTGCTGCTGTTGCTACATGCTGTACTACTGCTGCTGCTATTGCTGCCACTGCTGTATGTTCTACTGCTGATGCTGCTGCTGTTATTGCTATTGCTGCATTCTGTACTGCAGCTGCAGCTGCTGCTGCTGTTCTGCTGCTACAGGCCTTATTGCTGCGCTTCTGTTGCTGCTACTGCTGCATGTTCTACTGCTGCTGCTGTTGCTACATGCTGTACTGCTGCTGCTGCTATTGCTGCCACTGCTGTATGCACTGCTGCTGTTATTGCTATTGCTGCATTCTGTACTACAGCTGCAGCTGCTGCTGCTGTTCTGCTGCTACAGGCACTATTGCTGCGCTGCTATTGCTGCTACTGCTGTATGCTCGATTGCTGCTGCCGCTGATGTTGCTGCTACTGCTGCATTCTCTACTGCTGCTGCTGTTGCTGCTACATACTCTATTTCTGCTGCTGCTGCTATTAATTCTATTGTTGCATGCTCTACTGCTGTCGTCCGTGTTAATGACTCATTATAATAATAATAATAATAATAATAATAATAATAATAATAATAATAATAATTTAATATTATTATTATTATTATTATTAATATTATTATTTATTATTTATTTATTTTTTTTTTTTTTATTTGAAAGATCCTTATATTATTTAGGGCCTATATAGTTATTTATTCCAGAAAGATTTAGCCCAACTTCAGCATCATATTCTGGTGGGACGAAGAATTCGTTAAACATTATATTTTCATTTGATTTTTTTAGTTTAATCTCGTGTGCGATGATGGAACCAAAGCCTCGCTAGCTCAGTCGATTTATTTTTTTGGTGTTTTGATTGGTTCTTTCCTGTTTGGAGCTCTGGCCGATATGTGAGTAACATTTAAATAGACATTAAGAAAAATTAAAAGGTCTGTAAAGTTCTATGCTTTGATGGGTTAGTAGAAGTTTACAATATTTATAACCAGCAATGGATGTATGAATTGGACATATATGAGTCCCAGCGAGAGCATGGCACACTCGCTGATAATTGTGAAAGTATTTGTAATTTTCACAAATTTAGATGGCCCGGTGGCTGCCTCTTGAATCAACCGCTCTTTGATCATGACACCAAATAATATTCTAAATTAATAACACCACCAACTTAACCCAACAAAAATTACTACATTAACAAAACCTTGGGGCAACTAATAATAATAATATTACAATTGGTACCGGTGAAATAAATACTAAAAGCAATATTTGCTTTAGTTGTTGGGTACGAGCTTAGGAAAGTTGCTTTTCATTGGCACAAGGCAATCTAAAGTTAAAGAATCATAAAATAGTACGTAACAGTAGTTAAAGCCATCGTTAAAGCCATCGTTTAAAATTGACAGATGAACTGTCATGAATTAAAAACATGAACAAAATAGATGCATATACAAGGTAAACATTTAAATAAGAAAATAAATGGTATACAGTGTTAAGCTGGTAGTTTTGATTTATAAAAAAATAGACTATAAAAGTATAAGAGTTAAATGTTGCTGTATGGTAATGGTGATGATGATAACGATAACGATGATACTAATAAATGATGACGATAATCATAATAATATAAATGACAATAAAGATATGAACCTCATGAGTGTACTCAGGCGCATTGCTGATATATATATA